AATAACTCGAGAGGGATTACCTTAGGAAAAAGGCCTGTATGGGGGATTAACTCTCTCACACTTCATCCTCTCTTGTCTTCTATTATCTTTCCTCATACATACCTTTTTCACTTAATATAGTGGAAGATGATTCTCCGCTCAGTTCATCCTTGTTCTTCTCACATCGAGCATGGCGTACCTCATTTTCTTCATTTTCCGTCTTATCCAGTTGCTCTGTGAAATAAATTAAAAATAATAACGGCAGCCACATAACACTCGTTTAGTGATATGACTCATGTGTACAGAAAATAGGTTGTTATAGCAAAATGTCCTGTAGAAAACTGTAAAAAATTTCATTGGAGCAGGGAGAGTAACAGCTAGACCTGTTTTGATTCTCAAATTGATTACTTTAAAAATCAACACAAAACAAAACATTTACATACCAATCAGCTTGTCCAAGATGTTGTTTTTTTCAATTTCGCGCAAGGCAACCGCAAGGCAACCCAGAGTTGCGTCCCTTCCTTCCTTTTCCATCCAAATCCCAAGCATAGCATTGGCCTTATGGATACTGGATCTGTAGTCAGCATCAATATTTCCAAGTGCCACTGGAGAAAGATTAAGGGCTATTCCAAGGTCTCTCCAGCAGTTTCCTAAGTCATCCTTCAGAGGTAAAAGGTGATGAAATGTAGCAACTGTCTTGTTCAGTTTGGAGTACTTGGCTGTATAAGTAAAATACACATATTGCACAATGAAATTAAAAGTTACCCAATTTAACTACCTCTAAAACTTGACTGAATGAAAAGTTTATTCCGTAAATCAGGAAAGTCAGCAACTGGAATAAAAAGTGAAATCACAACATTAGAAACGTTTAGGGACCATTCATTATTCATCGGAGGGGAGGTATGGGAGCCGGAAATTGGGCATACTTGAAATTTACAATATACCTCGGTGACAATAAAAAATGTTCGTAAAAACTCTTTTCAGTGCTACGCGCCTTACCGTTGTCGATTTACAAGATATTTTCACTTTAACCAGACTATGACCCACGACGTTTGACATTGGGACGTTATTCAACTGTCAAGCAGATATCCTCCAAATGGGTACACAGCTGGTGAAAACGAACCTAAGATAACTAAAAACGATTGGGTAGTTATCATTATATCTTATTGAGGCAAAGATTTACGAGGTAGCGGCTTAAATGTTACACAGCCACCATATAACAGCCTTGTCATGCACAACTTCTTGCTGTTTAACATTGCCCACATGTGGAACCAGTTACCAGCTATCACCAGATCCTCGACCACTTTCGCACAATTTCGTTCTCGTTTGAATGGTGTGGAGTTTACAGGGTGCCAGTGTATGAACTGTATTTTCTAACTCAAAATTTTAATTTAGGACTAGTTGCTCTTAGGAATATTTAAGAATTGGTTCATGCTTAGCGTGCGTATATCGAGTTATGGATGCACGCGGCAAGTTTGGAGAGCACGAAAGAAGCGTAGGAGTTGCTCGAGGCGATAGCCGCGAGCAACTCTAGCTTCTTGAGTGCTCTCCAAACTTCCCTAGTGCATCCATAACTCGATATACGCAGAGCTAAAAGCATGAGCCAATTCTTTTATAACATAGCGACAACAACTTGGGCGCTAAAACATGTTATATTTGTGATTGACTATAAAGTTCTCACAATGCCCGGTGAAGAAAAACAAAGGTCATTAGGATCATAACACGCCACAATCAGTTGACAACAACAACAACCATTTATTTGTACGCACAATTTATAAAATAATTACAATAAACATTAAATTAGTATAGAGTACTGCCTGCCCAAAATAACCGTAAGGGCTAAAAAGAATGGGCAGACATTAAGTTACATAGATTATTTATACAGTTATCGGTCGGTAACACA